AAAGTCATCAAACTACACGACACTTAAAGCACTTTGTGACTGAATATTGGAAACAGACAACGTGATCTGCTTCTTCACCAACTTTCTATTTTATCAATGAACAAATGCTAAAAAAAAACATGCAAATGGTGAAAGAACATTAATTTAATAAAAATCAAGGGTCAAGCATTTCAAATGAAACATTCTCAAAAAACATGAACATTGATCATTACTTATGATTCTGCCTCAGTGTTACTTTTAACACTCTGCTGGTGGCTCCATTATAAATACAGAGCAGTGTTAATTTTACAATTGGGATTTTTCATGTTTAGACTCCACCTAATGTGCTTATGTTCGGATTTACAGATAGCCACTGCAATTATCATGACTTGTGTTCAGAGACCTTCATGTCACATTGGATATTAGATACGTGATCAATAAAATACATTTTATTGTCAGGCACAGAATACAGAAAACATGACTTTAACCATCCATCTCCTCCTCACTGTCATGCTCTGTTATAGACTTGCTGGATGTTGCCCTTTTGATCAGCACTGTGAAACTGTGTGTTCAGCTCTCCAATCACCAAACTCTCATCTGAATGCGCTGGACCTGTGTATAAATGACCTGAAGGATTCAGGAGTGAAGCTGCTTTCTTATAGACTGAAGAGTATAAACTGTCAGCTGGAGCAACTAAGGTTTGACTTTCATGTTCATTCATTTATTATTTATTATGTTCAAATATGTGTATGAATAGCTGTTTCATTAATATGACTAGCAGATATACTTTATATTGTAGTATGAATCTATCGGTGGCATTTTCTTGGAGGACACAAGCAGTGTCTCAAAAAAAAAGTAATCATCTGTACTAAAATCAGGGTCCCCAGGAGTCCTGTAAACCTGACATTTCCATGCTGCTAAGAAGACAAGTGGCCACATGCTGGAAAGTTTTGGGAGTGACATCTGCAAAAATGGGATTCACTCTCATAATCGCAATGATTGACAGATTGATCATCATAACAATAGATGGGACAATAATATAATATGTCAAAATAAATGAGCATGAAGGCTAAAGAACCTAATTTCAGAAGCATACTCAGTGATTTGATTTTGGAACCAGGGCAGATATGTGAGACTCAAGAGACTGGTGTGTGGTATGAATACCACTCATTATCACTGATCCCACCAGCCCACACTGCTTCACACCACTATAGTGCTTGTGCAGACTGGGAAGTGATATTTGTATATATTGTATAATTTATCCAAAAATGTAATCATTATTGTAACAGATGTAATCAAAAGAGAGAGGGAGATGGACTTAAATGCAGGAGTCTTATTCAACACAAACTGATACAGTCAAGTATTCAGGTGAATAACTTCAAGTGCATCAACATCTCACAAACGTGATCAAAATATAGAGAACAGCTCGCACAGAGCACAAAAACCCAGAGATAAAGAGTAGAGCAGAGGGGAGTTTAGGTAACGGTATGAGTCTGCAAGCCTTGGAAAATTTGTCTACCACAGTGAGGATAGTCATATGACCCTGGGACACCGGGAGATCGATAAAAAAATCTATGGCGATGTGGGACCAAGGTCTTCAAGGAATGGTTAAAGGTTGGAGCAACCCAGCAGGCAGTTGTTTGAATGGTTTATTGATGTTGCAATTTGAGCAGTTCTTGACATACATGGTGATCTCATTCTGCATACCAGTCCACCAAAACTTTTTACTGATTATCTGAAGGGTTGCTGTGATGCCAGGATGCATGCATGGGACATTAGCATGAGTCGTTGACAGAACTCAGGGGGCATGAATGTCTTATCATTGGGACAGTCAGGTGGCATATGATGTTTAGCCCCCTCCAGCCAATGCCTCCACTCCTCGAATGCAGCCTTCATGGCTAAGAGCTCTCGATTGCCAACATCGTAGATCTGCTCAGTGGGGTTGAGTTTCCAAGAATACAATGCACAAGGGAACACCTCAGGAGGAGTACTATGTTGTTGGGGTGGAATAGCCCCAATGCCTGTAATGGAAGCACCAATTTCAACAATGAACTCTAGACTTGAATCAGTGTGATGCGGAATGGAAGCTGAGGTAAATCTGGATTTTAATTCTTGAAATGCCTGCTGAGCTTCTGAAGACCAAGAGAGATTGTGAGAGTTCCTTTTGAGCATGGAGGTTAAGGGTGTTGTGATACTGTTGAAACCACAAAATAACTTTTGGTAGAAGTCTACAAAGCCTGGAAAGCATTGTGGCAGGGTAATGGCCAGGTGACAATGGCACTCACTTTGGTCTCATCCATGGCAACTCTTTTGGGACTAATTTCATATCAGAGGAACACCATAGATGGTGAGTGAAACTCACATTTCTCTGCTTTGGCAGAGTTTGTTGTCGATCAGGCATTGGAGAACAGACCTTACATGTTTGACATGGTCTTCATAGGTACTTGAATAAACAAAGATGTCATCAATATAAACTATTACCCACTTGTTAAACATGTCTTTGAAGATGTCATTTATAACAGCCTGTAACACAGAAGGACTGTTTACGAGCCCTGAATGGCATGACCAAGTACTTGTAATGCCCAGTGCTAGTAGAGAAAGCGGTCTTCAGTTCATCTCCTTCTCATATACAGATGAGATTGTAGGCACTAGGGAGGTCTAGTTTAGTGAAGAATTCGGCTGTTCTGAGCTGTTCTAGGGCTTCAGGTACCAGAGGTAAGGGATAGCAAAACTTTAATGTGATTTCATTCAGTCAATGATAATCAATGCAAGGTAAAAGGTCGCCATCCTTCTTTCCCACGAAAAAGAAACCGACTGATGCTGGAGAGGTGGAGGGCCGGATGAAGTCCTTGGCCAGTTCTTCCTTAATGTAATTCTGCATGGCTTCAGATTCTGGTTTTGACAGTGAGAAGAAGTAATTAACTGGCAGTAATTCAATGGCATGGTCGCTTAGTCGATGGAGAGGAAGTTGTGTTGTCTTGACTTTACTGAAAGCTTAGATTAGGTCAGCATACTCAGTGGGAAGATTAAAAACTTGTAAATCCTTGGGTTTAACCTCAGTGGTGCTAACGTGCAGAGCGGTGACAAGTTGAAGACATTTAGATTGGCAGCTTTGACTCCAATGTGTTATTTCCTCGCCAGCCCATGAGATCTGGGGATTATGTTGCTGGAGCCAGGGTAGACCGAGAATGATGGCATAATTGGGCAAGGGAATTAGGTAGAGGCAAATGATCTCTGTGTGTAGGACTCTAACCTGGAGCGTGAAATCCTGAGTGACATGATGGACATAGCACAAACCCAGTGGTGCTCCATCTAATGCAGCAACTGACAAAGGAGATGCACAAGAAGTCACTAGTATATCATTCTGCTCAGCAAAGTCAATATCAATGAGATTGCCCGCAGCTCTGGAGTCAAGCATAGCAGTAGTACAAATGGTTTTCTCAGAGACAGTCAACTGAACAGGTATTTCCATACAAGAAGATGAGTAAGGCATTAATTAGCATGCACTTACCTAAAATGGATAATGCTGGTTGGGACAAACTTGGCAAGTGGCCTTCACATGACCGGGTTGGCCACAGTATAAGCACAGATGCTGTTTGATTTGATGCTCTCTCTCCTCAGGTGTGAGAGGTGCACGACCAAGCTACATCAAATTGATTCAAATCCTTTCCTTCATCACGACAGGCCAATTCTGACAGAAGTTCCAAATGTAGCCCCTTGTGAAAGAACAGTTACAAGGTAGCCACTAACGTGTGAAAATTGAGAGCACATGCCACAGCAGTGCTCTCACCCTATTGAAGGGACAGCAGTTGGTCACCAGCATCTCGGCCATTCCCCCGATGCTTAAACACCTCTCTAAAATGTTGAAGAAATATTTTGAACGAGGGAAAAGTGGATCCAGATGGCATTGGCCCAGTCTAAAGCCTTCCTTGTTAGAAACGAGCAGACAAACGAAATCCTTCTTTTGTACATGGAATATAATGTGGGCTGCTGATTAACACAAAGAGCACTGTAGTAGGAAACCTTTACACTCACCTGGGGACCCATCAAACTTTTAGGGAAAGGTGAGGCATGGATTATCAGATACCGTGCTCATGGTAGACGAGCTTGTGGTGTGAGTTGATGCTTTGCTTGGTGGATAAGCGGAGAGTTTGCAGCATCTTAACTAACTCCTTGGTTAGCATCATCAGCCAGTTGAGCTGTTGCTGATGCATGGCTTGAGCAGAGACCTCAGACGTGAGCTGTTGAAGAGCTGCAGGATCGGTGGATGGTTGAAGTCTACTGTAAAGAACCGTCAGACAGGTTGAGATCCATATGCAGCTTTATTAAAAAATAAAACGCCTTTCAAACACAGTACAGCCTTTCAAAGTATACTCCTTATGATAATCATCTTTATCCAGTGTCTGTGCTATTTCTTTCCAGAAGATATGACTGATAATAATGTCTTTATACTAGAGTTGTGTATATCTCCCAACCCCCTCACAAAAGTGTTTATCAACACTGGCATCTGTTGTTGCTATGGTCTGTGGTTGTTTGTTTTTGTCAATTTTCCTTTTTTTCCTTTTCTATTTCAGCTGTGAAACAATGGCCTGGGCCAGTGTGGCCACCTTGTTGCACCTTTGCCCATGGGTGGCCAGTTGAATAGCTCTGTTATAAACCCTACCTGATTAACACATTAATATCACTGTTTATTTGTTTTTGATTTCTCTCTCACTGCACAGGCTATGTGGGTGTAAACTCACTGCTCAGTCTTGTGAAGATACTAAGGTCTGAATTCAAACACTTTAGCTGATTTATTTATTTATTTATGCATTAACTTAAAATTGCATTGCTAAGATTTATTCTGTATGCAGTGACTTTGGGGTTTTCTTGTTCAGATGTTCCATATGTAAACTCACTGCTTAGTCCTGTGAGATTTTGTCATCAGTTTTACCATCCTCAACCTCCTGTCTGAGAGAGCTGGACCTGAGTAACAATGACCTGCGGGATTCAGGAGTGAAGCTGCTTTCTGATGGACTGAAGAGTCCAAACTGTCAGCTGGAGATACTGAGGTAAAAGTTTTTTTTTCATAAATTAAGTACCAAAATGATGTCACAATAAATGAACTTTAAATATATTTTACAATAAATGACATTTTTGTCACCAAATGTTGCATCTGCTTTCAATGCCAAAAACAAAAACAATATTTGCAGGCATGTTTTATTTTTCACATTTATAAAAATGTCTATATTTTCCACCCTGAGAAGTATGACCAATGTAGACTGCATACATTTGAGAACACAATGCCATAAACTGTGCTAGACTTGCATGGTTTTCCAGACTTGTTTACTGAACCCTTCCATATACGTACATACACATACATAATTCACATACACATACACATTACATAATTCACACATGCAACTTTCATCCTTCTCTCTCTCGTTCCTAAAAATTAATAAATTCTATAATTAGTTTATTCAAATAAACATGGTCTTACTGTACGACTTCATCTCTCTGTCTACTTTAAAGGGGGCAGAACGCTAGAGCTAACGAGTTGTAACTCACGAAAATAACCATCATTTTCACACTTCTGTCAAATATTGCACTGCAAACATCATTAACAGCTTTGACTTGTCAATGCTGGCAAATGACCTAGATGTGCATTAAATTCATTATCTGTGTATTATCCCTTATGCTAAGTTCACACCGCACGATTTTCAAAGTCATCGGATCATCATTGTTTTCACACTGCACAACTGTCATTGGTAGCATTCAGTTGCTGCTGTGTTCACATTGCACAATGGGCTGGCAACAGAAGGTTACACACTGCATGACTTTACAATAGGAAGAATCGCAGACAGGTCCAGATAATTAGCATGCCAAATATTTCACGGGCTATATTCTCTCAGATTGCGTCTTTAATAATTCACACTGCATGATTGTCACTTGCGTGAATGAGCACCGATTTGCCTCCGATTTCGGGCATTTGTCAGCAATTTTGCAAAACTTGTTGGTGAGTGAAAATCAGGGAAAAAATTGTGCAGTGTGAACTTGGCATTACATGACTGTTGTACAACAATAATCTGAGGCTGCCGGCAATCTTTGCATCTAAAGGGGTTAAACAATGAGTGGGTGCAATGTTTTGCTTGACCACAAAAGAGTTTAAGTCTGTAAATGCAAGCCCTAATGCATCATTTGTATTATTAGTGTGAATGTTAATGTATCTGACTATTAGTGCTTTATCAACATTATCCAATAGGTCTGAGAGGAAATATGCAAAATCTTTTAGAATATCAGCAAACTATCCTGGTGGTCTATACACAGTAGCCAGAGCAAGAGATAGGAAATATATTTTTCTGTATAACAGTGTAACATTAAGCAGGAGTACTTCAAATGAGTTAGACCTGTGTGCTGTTTTCATTGACAATATCTCTGTATATTGTTGCAACACTGACGCCATGAACAATCTGATGGGGCTAATTTTCACATCATAGCTCACACGTGGACCAGGCATCCGGCCTGTTTTAAGCTTTTCCTTCTTTTTTTATTTTAGACATCCATCAATTAAGGCAGGGGTGTCCAGACTCAGTCCAGGAGGGCCACTGTCCTGCAGAGTTTAGCTCTAACCCTAACTAAACACACCTGAACAAACTAATTAAAGTCTTACTAGGCATACTAGAAACTTCCAGGCAGGTGTGTTCAGGCAAGTTGGAGCTAAACTCTGCAGGACACCTGCCCTCCAGGAGCGAGTTTGGAGACTCCTGAATTAAGGTGATGGAAAAGATATGCTGCACTGATGGAAACAACATGAGACCATGCTAATGAAACTGTCAAGACAGGCTCGCAAGGTGTAGCACACCTGGAAGAGGTATAGAAAAAAGGAGGACTAGATTAAAACTAGGGCTTCCCTGAGTTATGATTTTTCTAGCCAACAATTAGAGGTAATTACTTGAAAACTAAACCACAATGAGCCTTTAATGTGTAGGCTAGCTAGCCTATTTTGTGCTCAACTTCACACATATAGCTTGTGGCAAAGCACCGGCAAAAGTAATGAATGTGTCTGGAAAAATAGTAAGAATATGTTATAATTATTCATTAATAAACTCCTTTTTTTCTGAGTCAGTGTGGCTGCAAAGATGAAGTTAATGATGCTGACTCGCATCTGTAATACAGATTATAAAATCAGAGAGTTTTTGTTTTCGATTTGAAATGTTTAGTTTTAAAGTATGCATTTCAAGCTTTCTATAGATATATTTCTCATATCTGTGAGGCAAGTAGCCTATAGGCTGAGTTTCGGTTTATTTTTGTGATGTGCTTCAGTCCACAAACACAGAGATGGCAGAAAGCACATCATGTATGTTTTCTTTATTTTACAAAAGCGCAATGTTTTGTTGATATTGTGAGTGTACACAAATAAAAGTAGACTGTGACGAGTGGGGGCGGGGCCGAGAGCCGTATGAATGGAGCGAGGCTGGTGGAGTAATTGATAATGAGCGACACCTGCACCACTCACCGGCAGTGTTGCCAATTTGGGGATTTTGTCGCCAAATTTAGCTGCTTTCTCATTGTAGCTGCGACTTTTTAAAAATTTTTGCTGCAAGGAGCTATCTTAGCTATATTTAAATAAAACTAGTGATTTTTGGGAGATTTTTTATTTTTTACTGCGCAGTGAACACACCAGTACACCACACCTGCATGACGCACACCACAATTTCATTATAAGCATCAATCAAGATAGCGGAGAAAAAATGAACATGTTTTAACCAAGGACATAAAAGTTATACCACAATTCATGCACAGTCATGTCAACCAGATACTGAGAGAGAGAGATAGTGCATCATCGTGTCATGTGTGCTGGGATGCAGTATTTTGCACTTACTTTGTAGTAATAGAGTGTGTTGACTGAAATATTATAGTTTGTATGAATAAAGTTTTTGTTTTTGGAGAATCATAATATCTCTTATCTGTTGTATTTGAGCAGGACAGGGATGCACTTTAGTGACACAAAAAACAAATTCCCAACATTGTGTCTTTTGTGTCTTTCCATCGTTTCCATCATGTTTGATGTGCTTGCAGATCACAAGCATTTCCTAATTTCACTTCAGAATTTTTTGTTATACTTAATCTTTTGTTATATTTTTTATACTGTCATCATTTGTAAAGTATATGTATATATTTACTTTCCTTTACCTTTACCAAGTTTACCTCTATTTACTTTGTTTTTATATTTGGCAACTTTTTGTGAAAAATGGAGACTTTTGAGGGTGGTTCTAGAGATTTTCTGAGGGAGGGCAACACTGCTCACCGGTCTCGAGTCCCACGGAGGAGCTCCGGAAGGATAAAAGGAGGAGCTACGACAGTGAAAGACGAGAGAAGACCAGGCCTGGATTTTATTTTGTGTTTTGGTTCTGTTTGTGTGTTTATTTTATTATTAAAGTTTTGTTTGAACGTTCGCCAGTTCCCGGCCTCCTCCTTCCCGATCTAGAAGCTGTGTTACATTGGTGCCGAAACCCTGGAGGAAGGAGGTACACGCTGTCAGAGAGCCCTCTCTGCTGAGTGGGGTCACGGTGCTGAGGAGATCAGGCAGCAGGAACAAGCGAAGAGACCGCCGGTGGCTGCCCGAGGTGGTGGTGCTGGAACGATGGAAGATGAGGTGGGACGGAGAGCTCGCTGCCATGCTCCTAGGTTGAGGAGGGGTGGCTGCTGTCCAAGAGGGAGCGGAGGAGTCGACCCCGTTCGTCAGGAGGCCGGAGCCTGCTGCCGTCTGCCATGATTGGGGACTCGGGGGACTCGCTGCCGGCTGCCCTCAACAGGAGGAGCCATCGCCGTCCACCAGGAGGCGGAGGAGCGGTGGGCCGTCCACCAAAGATGCACAGTACCATCGCATGGCACCACGAGTGAGAGTCTCTCAGCCAGTTGAGGATCAGTTGAGGACCAGTGTGTCCGGGAACTGGACTGATAATTTTTTTTTTTTCCTCTCTCCCCTGAGGCAACACTGCTCACCGGTCTCGAGTCCCACGGCGGAGCTCCGGAAGGATAAAAGGAGGAGCTACGACAGTGAAAGATGAGAGAGGACCAGGCCTGGATTTTATTTTGTGTTTTGGTTCTGTCCTCGCGGACGACTGTCGCGCTGTTTTGTGTTTATTTTATTATTAAAGTTTTGTTTAAATGTTCGCCGGTTCCCACCTCCTTCTTCCCGAACTACGAACTGTGTTACATAGACCCTTTACAGTTTCAAATGAACTATTACTCTTATCTGTATGATCCAAAATGGCATAAAATACTCCAACATTTTTTTTATTCTAAATTAATTTAATAAAGAAATAAAAATAAATATATACACTTTGGCATTAAAAACAAAGCCATTATTTTAATGGCTGCAACAGTAGTAAAGGCTGTGATAGGTTTTGATTATGGCATTATATTTAGATCTACTCTTGTCATGAAAAGTTGCAGTGATGATCATTGCAACTCGAGTTCTACACTCTAACGAATACTTTGATCAAAGCTAAGCAAAGCAGTTCTGGGTGGTGATCTCTACGATTGTGGGCAGCGGAGTGGGAGAGGTAGCTAGAACGTGTCTTTACCTGCCCTTAAAGGTAGACGCATATCCACCACTAGAGCAAGTAAACAATGAATGAATCAATGATACTGTGTGTCACGAATCCGGTCCATGAACTTCCGTCGGCTAACCACCAGAGGTCACCCTTTCCTTTACATTGACTCTCGCACAACACAAACTGTTGCATAGCACCCCGGACTACATATCCCATCATTCATTGCACGGTTTGCACACTGCACTGATTGCATTCATTGCACTCAGCTGTTTATTATCACCTCACTCACTATATAACACCCACTCAAACTGCCATTCTCTGCTGAGTATTGTTTAGCCCGTACCCCGTTCCTAGTCTCTGTGTTTTCCTTGTTTTGCCTTGCCTTGCCTGTTTTCGCGGTTTCGGATCTTTGCCTGTTTTCCCTGGATTTATCCCTCTAGTCTCGCCCCTGTGATTCTGTCTGCCGATCTTCGACCTACGCTAGCCCTAGGACTATTCTTGTGTTTTGTCCGGCATATACCTGTCTGCCATTATCTGACCCATGCCTGTTTTATGACCACGTCTCTGTCTTCTCCTAATAAAAAGCTTGCATATGGATCCGCACGTCTCACGTCTTGTCAGCCCCGTTACACTGTGAGTGAGGCTAGTACTGGATTTGGGAAATCAATAAAAATTGTGATATCAAGGCACTCTGATTGTTTTCGTTGTAGAATATGATTGGGGCATTTTCACCCATTGTAGAAATTGAAAATGACAGTTTATAAAATTGATTTGAAGATTAAAAGTAAAAGATAAAGAATCAACTTGACAGAGCTCCAAACACAAGCACACTGCAGTATTAACTGATTTTTAAAATAATTGTTGAAGTTCTGAAATGAATGCATCCAGATATGCCCTGAAGTAATTCAACCAGCAGCTTGTCTCTCCATGTCAGCAAAGGCAGGCTACTGTTAGCAAATAGCACTAAGCATTATCAACATGTATTGTGATCAAAAAGAAAACACAGAAACACTAATGACACAAACGTAACACTGAAGGTTTAGACTCCAAAAGCCTAATTCACTGACTTCAAACTATACAAATGACACTTAATGTGGCATTATTAAACAAGGTAAAATCTGAGTGCTACTAACCAAGTGTAGCTCATGTGTAGATACTTTGATATGATATACGTACATTACCAGTCAAAAGTTTGGACACACCTTCTTCCGACGCTAAGCAACAATCTTATGTTTGGGAGCAAATTTATAAGAACATATCCATGTACCTTTTTGAAATATTAGTGTAGAGACCTGCGCGGGATGGATTTTTCAGTCCTGCTCCTGCCCACTCCCGCAGAAATATATCTTATCTGGGCCCGCTCCCACCCGCGACATTCATGTTTTGTCCCGCTCCCGCCCGCAAAAGCCCGCATAAATGTAATCTATATAGATTTTCTTTCAGCATATCAAAGAAATTTACATTAAATGGTTCTGTAACATCTCCTAAGATCCACAACATTGGACCAAAAGACAGTACGCCGAATCTCGTGGATTACAATTTGCAACTAGACGGATGCACGGTTACTTCCTCTACAGTCAAAAATCTGGGTGTTATATTAGATAGCAACTTGTCTTTTGAAAATCATATTTCCCATGTTACAAAAACGGCATTCTTCCATCTTAGAAACATTGCCAAGTTACGAAACATGATACCCGTTTCTGATGCAGAAAAGCTAGTTCATGCATTCATGACCTCTAGACTGGACTACTGTAATGCACTGCTAGCTGGTTGTCCTGCATCTTCAATAAACAAGCTACAGATAGTCCAAAATGCAGCGGCTAGAGTCCTTACCAGGTCAAGAAAATATGATCATATTACCCCAATTTCACAGTCTCTGCACTGGCTACCTGTTAAATTCCGTATCAGTTACAAAATATTATTACTTGCCTATAAGGCCCTTAATGGGTTAGCTCCTGCGTACCTAACTAGTCTTCTACCACGCTACAATCCATCACGCTCCCTAAGGTCACAAAACTCTAGACTTTTGGTAGTACCTAGGATAGCAAAGTCCACTAAAGGAGGTAGAGCTTTTTCGCATTTGGCTCCCAAACTCTGGAATAGCCTTCCTGATAACGTTCGGGGTTCAGACACACTCTCTCTGTTTAAATCTAGATTAAAGACACATCTCTTTGGCCAAGCATTCAAATAATGCATCTCATAACTTGACAGAGCTCCAAACACAAGCACACTGCAGTATTAACTGATTTTTAAAATAATTGTTGAAGTTCTGAAATGAATGCATCCAGATATGCCCTGAAGTAATTCAACCAGCAGCTTGTCTCTCCATGTCAGCAAAGGCAGGCTACTGTTAGCAAATAGCACTAAGCATTATCAACATGTATTGTGATCAAAAAGAAAACACAGAAACACTAATGACACAAACGTAACACTGAAGGTTTAGACTCCAAAAGCCTAATTCACTGACTTCAAACTATACAAATGACACTTAATGTGGCATTATTAAACAAGGTAAAATCTGAGTGCTACTAACCAAGTGTAGCTCATGTGTAGATACTTTGATATGATATACGTACATTACCAGTCAAAAGTTTGGACACACCTTCTTCCGACGCTAAGCAACAATCTTATGTTTGGGAGCAAATTTATAAGAACATATCCATGTCCCAGCATAAATGCTCCTGATAAAATGTGTTATTTAGGCTAAGCACCAACATTCACAAACCACTGTTATTTTTAACAGAAAAGCAAGCATGGGCTGCTGCGTGCATGGTTTGGCATGGCAGAATGCAAGCAGCGCTCCCTTTATTACCACTAAAAGCTGACATCTCAGTTCATCGCGATTTCATAAAGCTCTGTGATAATACAATGAACATATGCATAATGAATCATTCACAATGTCTACTCATGTGTGTTAAAATGAGAGGATTCGCGAGCACGCAATTTCAGCACTGCGGTGAGAGGATTCTAACTTAAATCACCTCTGATTGGCCACTGCGTTCCAGAAATCAACAGCTCAGTCTGTGATTGGCTACATTGCGCAACCCTTTAAACACGTGTTATAAATAGAAACTATGCCTAGCTTGCACGTGTTAATCATTTTAATGGTAATAGTTGTTCTTTTTGCTTTTGTGCAACACATAAATAACAATTTATATTTTTTAGACATTTTCTGTTTAGATAAATTCTATTTTGCGGGAGTCCCGCAAATCATTTTACTCTCCCGCATCCCGCACACACACGAGTCTCTTCCCGCCCGCACCCGCCCATCAAGAGTTGCCCCGCGCCGCACCCTGTTGCACTCTGGAGTGCAGGTCTCTATATTAGTGTACATTTCTACTGACATTTTTACTGGAGCATAAATGTATCAGGTGTCTACACTTTTTGTACTTTTGTGATTAAATCTATAAAAATGGACAGCTACCACACTGTGTGTTTGTGACATCTGACTGCCAAACTAATGTGATATTGACTATTTCTGTGTGTGTTTGTAGATTGTCAGGTTGTATGGTGACAGAGAAAGGCTGTCGATATGTGTCTTCAGCTCTGATTTCAAACCCCTCACACCTGAGAGAGCTGGATCTGAGCTACAATCACCCAGGAGATTCAGGAGTCAAGCTGCTCTCTGAAAAAATGGAGGATCCAATCTGCACACTGGACAAACTCAAGTATGCCAGCAAGAATTGTTCATACTCTTTATTGTCTATATATATATATATAATATATATATATATATACACATATATTAATATTAGTGCGGTCAAAATTAAATTATTTAAAAATTAACGCAGGGGCGGAGCTTAGGATTGGTCACCCCACTCATAACCGCTACTTCTGTCTCTTTTTTCTTGACAAGAAGTGAATTTATTTAGTTGCAGACCATGTTTACGACCACATCAAAGCGGAGATGTTTCAGACATGCACTCCCGCTTCACTTCAGCACCAGGGAGAGCACTGGGAGAAACGGTACTGTTCTTGGAGCACGCACTCTTCAATTGCACGCACAAAAGTGCCGGCGTGTGCTGTAGTATATATAATTTAATATCAAAGCGTGAAATAAATTACAAGCATCCAATGTCGTGGGCAGTTAAGTCACAAAGTTACCAAAAAGGTGATTAAAGCTGCCTTAAAACTGTGCATGC